AAAAAAAAAAGTCACCTGGCAAAATAACTTTCTTGTGATTTGTTGTGGCAGTGACTTCCTTGCGGACGAGTCATTAAACTTCAAGAAGTACTGCAATCAGTTAAACCAGCAATGAGGGCTTTGCTTTCTCAGCAGGTTTATCGTCTATCCTGCAAAGTCATGCTCTGTTTTGGGCTTTCCCTGTATTATATTGCAATTGGCATCTTCTGTTTTTGAACCAAGTTAGGTTTATTTGAATGTAAAGTCGGAACAAATCGTGCCCGTTGATGTGTAGGCTTGACGCGACGAGCACATAGTTTTTGTATGTGTAATATTGGAGAATTGTACTAACTTTGTCCTGGTTTGCTAATGCACTGTCCTTCTTTCCACTTTTCGCTTTCCGCGTTAGATAATAAGAGGGACTTGTAAGTCTGGTTTTTGTTCGTTGTGTGATGCTATTTTGTAAAAATTGAAAGCTCGTACTATATTGCAAAATTAAAATACTGAAGATTAAAATTACAAACGAACATATATATGATTGAAAATAAAAAATTCGATCTATTATTTTATTTATTGTATAAATATATATATATATATGTAGATAATGGGGGAGATGTTACGGTCATGTTATTCCGTTGGAAGTTGTAATCATTATATCAACTATTTTTGACAGTTACATGATAATCTAACGATTACAAATCCGACGGAATGGAACGGTTACAAACCCGACGGAATGGAATGGTCCGATGATAATTTAACGATTACAAATCCGACGGAATGAACGGTTACAAACCCGACGGAATGGAATGGTCCGATAATGGATTACAAATCCGACAGGATGGAATGGTTGGCAGTTTGATGTATGCGATGGTGTGTACAAGGCCCCACATTTCACAAGCAGTTGGTGTTGTTAGCAGGTATATGCATGACTCTGGTAAAGGTCATTGGCAAGCTGTGAAATGGATTCTACGATTCGTAATACTGTAGACGTTGGATTAGTTTATGAGCAGGATGAATTTGGCCGAGAGCGTAACATTTTTCAAAAGCTAATAAATGATTGTATTGTTTTCAATTAGGAGCGAAATCATTTTCAGTGCGTGATGCCATCATAACAGTACTTTAATTACTATTATCCATCTCTCAACTTGCTTAAAATTAGCAATTATGATTTTAATGAGTCCGAAATCTGCATCGAACCAGAATTGGGAAACTTCTCCTACCAATCATTATCCAGAATTATGGGACATAACAGCAAAAGCAAACGCGTATTTCGCACTGAATCCAAAAAAAATTATGAAAATTGAAGATATTTTAGTTATTCTCAATTTAAGATTAAGTTATATGTTTGATTTCACAATATAAGACCCAGCAGTAATTCTATGGAGCAATCGGATGGCTCCGTTATGGAGCCATCCATATTTTTATATACTGACACATGTCCAATGTGCATTAATTGCAGGACACGTGTCAATACATCATTTGTGAATAACAATGGATGGCTCCATAAGCCGAGCCATCCGATGGCTCCATAGCAAAACCGTAAGACCCAGCTAACTTTATTTTATAATATAGTAGAACAAAAATATTAGTCTTTAAATATTTTCCACACTTAATCAAAATAATATTTAAATTATATTAATTTCGAATTCTCTTGTGTTTCGAAAATAAGTATTAAAAATTTGCAAAAATATAATTTACATGAATTAATTTTCTTTTTTAAGTAAATTGTTAGATATAATTAACTCTTTTGTCATAAAAATGTAAAATATAGACTATAAAAAATAATATAATGGCTTACATATTTATGTCTAAAATGTAAATTTTATATTGAGAAAAAATAAAAATTCAGTTCATAAAATGATACAATTCTAAAAGTGGAGTCATGAGCCCCACATTTCGGAGCGTAGCAAATAATCTCTCTACAATGTGATCGGATATCGAAAACATCTGTTTTTTCTGGCTAGGTAATATATTTTATAAATTTTTAACTCAAAATTCAGCTCAAATTTAATCCAACTTGATATTATCAATATGATTAAATCATATCTATCAATCATTTTAACACATCACATCATTCACATAATTTCAATTATTTATCATTTGTAATAATTTATTTTTACTTTTATATACATCAACTTTAATTATACATTTTAATTATTATTTATATATAAACTCTAAATTCTCTTAATCCTCCATTTAATTAACTTTGTTCAATAAATTCAATCAAACCGAACAATTTTATTTTCAATCCAACCTTATAACCCCGAACCAATTACTAGCGCCCTTACATTAATGTGTTCCCACTCTGATGAAGATCGTGTATCAGGACTCTGTTTTGTGTGAGAACCTGCGCTAACGGTCTTGGTTCGAACACGATAAAATAGGTAAATTCGCACTGACGACCTTGGTTCACACATTAATAAGTGAAAAACATGCACTATCGGCCTCGGTTTTTCACTAATATAGTACTCGGAAACGAGCCTTTTTCTTAAACTTTATTTAATAAAACTTTATTATCTAAACATGCATACAATGGTCTTATTTATAACACACACACACAAACAACATTCAAATATTCAAATTATCATAACTAATCATTCAAACATTTAAATTATAACTAACATAACAATCCTATCTAATTACTTAACTAACATAAATAATATTAACTACTCCCGCCACTACAGTCCGATTCCACTCGAAAGTCCAGTGCGCATCATTTCCGACTCCTTCATCACAAATATTCTTGTTCTCAAGGATTGGAGTATGCGGATCGTGCATGTTCTCCTCAACGCCCTTGGAAATTATTTGGGACTCGCCATCTTCAACCTCGACTTCTTCAGCCTCTTTGAGATAAATATTGAAAATAGGCGGCCAGATAATTGTTCTTCAAACAAATCTCGTAAAAACGGCAAGCAAAAGGAATAAAGAAACCCCCAAAAGAACTTACAGCCAATTCGTTTTTTGCTGAATACACGAAATTAAGTAGAAAAAATTTCAGTACAAGATCACATGAGTACAGTAACCTCATCCTGGGGGTTAATGATGAGTTTTCCAAGAGCAGAATGGAGGAGTCTCTCAATTGACTCAAGTTTCCATGAAATCATGTTTGTCTCCTTTTATAGGATTTTTTTTTTTTAAAAAAAATAAACTCTAAAAAATTCAAAATAAATAAAAAAATAAAAAACGAAAAAGATAAGGAAGATACATGATCATTCACGCTTAATGAAAACACCAATGACGAAATTATGTATCGGGACTCGATTTTGTGTAAGAACCCGCGCTCAGGGGCGTAGCTACATGTATTTGTACCCGGGCTGGCTTTCACAAATTTTATTTAATTTATGCCCGAGTGGCTTCTACAGGTTCTATAATTCTACAGGTTCAGCCCGGGTGACTTCAGTCTGAGTACCTTTAGCCCGAGAACATTTTGAATTGTAGCTCTGCCCCTAATCGCGCTAACGGCCTTAGTTCGAACACGATAAATGTGTAAACCCGCACTAACAGCTTTCACACATTAATAAATGAAAAACCTATCGGACTCAATTTTTCACAAAGACACCTTTTTCTTATACTTTATTTCATTAAACCTCATTATCCAAACATGAATACAAATGTCCTATTGATAACACTACAAACATTTAAACTACAACTAACATAATAATCTTATCTAATTATTTAACTAATATAAATAATACTAACTACTAAACATTTAAACTATAGCTAACATAATAATCTTATCTAATTACTTTAACTAATATAAATAATATTAACTACTCCCGCCAATACGATTGACATCACACACTCAGGGAGACAATCCCACCACTGTTTTCCCAGTGGTCCCCACTTCCAGCGGTGCTCCATTTGTCCGCATCCCCTCGTTCCCCACATGATAACTACCCATCCCTCATCCCTCCGGTACAGTCCTTCCGGTTCTCTTCAGTTCCATCTAATACCAAACCACGACTCTAATAACGCATAACCGCCCGACACGCTTTATACCCCAAACTGCAGATAAATTCAATTGATTCTTTCTCCCTTCAAATATCTCTGATCTCCCTCCATTCCTCCATTCCACATTTCTCTCGCTCCTGGCCTCCACGTCCCCGTCGACAACCACCGGCACCACCGCGCACCTCCCTCATTAACCACCTGAGAACAAAAAAATGAGGGAAATCCTGCACATTCAGGGAGGTCAGTGCGGGAACCAGATCGGGTCCAAGTTCTGGGAGGTGATATGCGACGAGCACGACGTGGACCCCGTCGGAAAGTACAAGGGCGACGGGTCATCCGGCACGGAGCTGGAGAGGATCAACGTCTACTTCAACGAGGCGTCCGGCGGCAGGTACGTGCCGCGGGCGGTGCTTATGGATCTGGAGCCCGGTACCATGGATTCCATCAGATCCGGGCCGTACGGGCAGATCTTCCGGCCCGATAACTTCGTGTTCGGGCAGTCCGGCGCGGGGAATAACTGGGCGAAGGGGCATTACACGGAGGGCGCGGAGCTCATCGACGCCGTGCTCGATGTCGTGAGGAAGGAAGCCGAGAATTGCGATTGCTTGCAAGGTTTTTTACTTTTCCCTAACAAACATTTCGATCCTTCCTTTCTCTTTTGATTTTGTGATTAAGTGGTTTATATGAACTTTTGTGTAACGTTCATTTTTGTGATATGTGCTTTTCCTAAATTCTTCTATACTTCCCCTGCTTTTGTCATCTTTTTCTTTTCCCTTGTTTTTTACTATCTCTCTGATAGTGTATGTAAATGGTTGCCTTTTCATAGTGCTTCTAGGCTCATCTGGATTATGTATCAATCATGTGCATTCCGTATTATGAACTTGTGTTTTCACTTCATCTTTTCCACAAAACTTGATCCGATTCAGATTTAGGGAGATCTAATGAATTTTGTATAATATGCTCACTTGAGTTGATTCAGAACGAGGACATTTGTTGTTCAAAATTGGTTAGTGTAGCAGGCTGGTAATTCATTAATTTAGTCCTACTAGTAAGGTGCACGTGCTCCGCACGTGAACCATATAATTTGTCTAATTGAATTTGAATATGTTATGACGTTGATTTGACTAAATTATACACTATGTATGATATACATTTTAAGTTAAAGATAAGTGTGTTGTGTGTACA